GGTTGGACTAGATGACCCACAGAGGTCCCTTCCAACCCCTACTATTCTGTGATTCTGTGTGAACAGCATGATAGAGTATGGAAAATGGTCTGAAGTCATTTAGAGAAATTACATCGTTTTATAACCAGCCCTTCCAATCTTGGGCAGTCCTGGTTTGTATGTGGGTTACGTAGGTAAGTACTGGCAGGCTGTGTACTGCAGAGGTGAATACACGTTATGAAATAGGAGCTATTTAGCTTGTCCAATTACTCTTGAGTTCACACAGCCCGGAGAAGATGTTTCGTTAGAGATCTGAGCAGTGCTAAATAACGGTACCGATACAAACCTATCTTGTAATTCATCACTTGAAGCTGGGGGGAGAGCGTTTATGTGTGTGTAGCGGTCATAGCTCGACATCTAGTTGACCTGGTCAGCTTCTCCCATTCACCAGACACCTCCACGTGGCATACAGGTATTGGCAGGGTGGGTCCAAGGTGGTGTCAGAAGCGAAGTGGAGTGTTCATGGCTGTGACTCACAGGAGAGAAGGAAGATAGAAAAGCTTTAGGTTTGCCGCTTGAAAACTGTTATCATTGAAGACTTCTTGCTAACAGACCTGCAGGTAAGTGACATGCAGAATCGTTCTGTTACGTCGGGGATAAACACGATGGAAGAAAATTGGGTTTCGGTGGAAAATAATGAAAGAAGAAGAAGAAGAAGAAAAGTCCATTAAGCACCAGTGAGCTAATCTTAAACCAGTGAAGTATCTGTCAGTGGGAAATACTTAATGCTTGCGCTAGCAGTGTTTTATAAGAAAAGGTGCTGTGAAGTACTTTGTCATTGGACTGGTAGTCGCACACTTAATATGGATGGTATAAATGTTTTTTGTTTTTCTGAAGATTTATTGTGCTGGTAAAAATAAAGGGGATCATCAATACAAGATACCACATTCTCCTTTACGTTTTGTTTGCATTTATGTAGGGTGAAGCGTATTTATTCTTTTTTAAAACATGAATAATCTCAAGTTACACATTCATACAAACATGTACACACACACATGCATGTACATTCTCTTTACTACAGTGCTTTGCTTCAAAAGTAAGTTAAAAAGAAAGCCTTCTGAAGCTGAGGATGTGGAGGATGGTTTGTATCTCTTTGCTCCAGTTAATCATCTCAGTATAGTCAACTGAAACAGGACATCTCTTTAGCTTCAGGAAACAGTACGAAACCAAAACATCACAACTGAAGTTTGACTGTTTCTTTGTAGATGCAGTGAGCAGCAGGAGTTTAACCACAGCCCGGAGCTTTCCTTTGAGTATTAGTTTCTGTGGGCTTCATTAGATTTGTTATTTGCGTGCTGGTTATGCTTTGTGGCTGTTAACCAGCTCAGTGGTGCTTAGCAAGAAGTGGTGCGCTCCTTCGGCAACACGAGCACAAACCTTTGCCGTCTCACTTCAGTGTCTTTTCTGACAGTTAATCTGTATGTGCAGTATATAAACAAAGAGGTCTTCTATATTTCTGTTTACCCAGCTACTCTGCCTTCCTTCCCTGTATTGCCAAAAGTGCAGCAATCAACAGTGTGTTTTTCGTAGCGTGAACCTATTTGAAGCCTGCTAAGTATCACCTCTTTATTTGGACCCGTTCAGAGTCATCCCTGCACATGCTTAGAAAAGAAAGATCTGTGTGTGTTTCTAGCTCGTCACATGGAGATGTCTCCAGAGTGTCATGCCCCGTCTGACCAGGTATGCAGCAGGCTAGCATTGCTAGGAAATATTTTTGCGGCTTGTTTTACTGAGAATTGTCCTTTTGACATCCAGCAAACAAAACGTTTGCAACATCAACGTCTGTTGTGTGATTGCTGCTTTTGCAGTGGCGTGAATCTGGTGAGTAGGCGGTCCGTTCTAGTCTTGTGTTTTAAAAGTTGCTGGTAATAATCAACGCTGTTAAGTTTTTCTCTGTAATCTGATAAAGTTGCATAAAGTTACTGGATTCCTAAGTATGAATTAACACCATTTTTTTCATTTCCCCTCACTATATCATATCAGTGAGGCATACCAAGATGCTGTAATTGTTAATGAACCCCATAACAGAACGGGAGGAGATTGCCACTGAACAGTGGTACTGTCTTGTGTTTGCTTTCCCTGCTTGAAAGATGGGGATAAAACGATGTTCAGTTGTCTACATGTAGGGATATTGTGAATATTATTTCGTGTTTACCTGTGACTTACAATAATAAATAATTTTGTGAGACAGTTGTTGGCCTCCATCTATCTTTCCTGTGATGATCCAGGTGATGCACATAGTTTCAGTCGTTTAGCCAGAGCTGTCACTGCTTTTGGGAACAGCACAAAGCAGGTGAAACACCCAGGTAAAAGAATATTCATATTTTCCAATTGACAGCCTGGTCAATAGCTAGAATGGTACCAGAGAGCACGGACAGTTGTAGTGTGTTTCCTCCGTGGGGTCGTTATTAACTCAGGGAGTACAATTCTTCATGTGGATGTCTCTGAAGATACTAAAATGTCTTATTATAATTTAATGTATTAAAATACGTTGTCCATTTATATCATGAGAAGAGAGCATAGCTCAGGTAGTAGCAAACCTAGCATGCAACTCTGCCTTTTGTGTGCCAGACTTTCAGTGTTGTGAGTCTTCCTCAGATGCATCTCAGCAGAGCTGCGGGCTGTGAACTCACTCACGTGAGGATCAGCTTAGGGACAACATTTGGCAGGCAAGAGAAAACAGAAACCTTGCTCTGCGCTAAGGGCGGCTGTAGCAGCGGTAGCTTGTGAGGCAGAGCTCCTTAGTCCTTTCCCCACAGGACAAGAGTGACAGACTGCGCCGTTCGGGTTTGGACAGTGCTTTAGCGATAGCAAATTGGTCCCAGGTGCTCCAAGGGTGATTGGGCTTTGCTGAAAGAAATAACTGAAACTCCCATTTTATCATTTCTTCATGTTCTCATTTCCACGCTTAAAATACATCCTAGCTTAATTTTAGTTGTGAATATGAAAATAGTAAATATTTTATCTTCAACTCCACACACTGTTTTGCTTGTGTAGAAAGCTTTTCCTACTCCAAGTTACCTGGGAATGGTTTATAAAACTATAGATTAAATACTACTGGTGATCAAGTTAACAGATAACAGTAACAGTGATGCTTACACTTTTAGCAACTCTAAGAACTACCTCTTAAACATTGCTGAATTTATAAACAGTTGACCTGATACGGGACCTAATAATAACAAACAGCTTTGAATCTGGATCAATGGGATCATAGAAATGGGCTGAAGTAGTCTAATCCGTTTTCTTGCAGTGAAGCAGGATCAAGTCTAACTACATCATCTTTATCAGGTATTTGTCTAACCTGATCTTTAAACTCTTTTACAGGGCAGTTTCTCAACCTTCTTACATCAACTTCAGTCTTTTGCTTAGATTCTTGTGGGGTTTTTTTAAACCTCTGAGGTTCCTTCCCTAGATTCTCCACTGTGCTTGCGTTTTTCTTGGAGCAGGACGAAAACCTGATGCGACGCTCCTGCAGATGTAGCAGCTACAGTTGTGCAATCCCTGCAAACATCTGGCGTACCTGGAGGTCAGTAGTAACGGTGTGTTGTTGGCCGGGTGGACTGTAGTTCACAGTAGTCTCCTGACTGTTGTGGCTAGCAGGTTGTTCTGTATCTATTTGCTTGTTCAGTTTCTGTTTCCAAAGCAGGATCTTGCTGTGCTTGGTTTTACTTTCATCTTGTTGCTGTGCAGTCTTTTCTGTGTTCTTGTTGCTCTCCTTTCTTGTTGTGTAAAGTAACCGTGCCTCCTTTGGTTTTCTTCCTGTGATTTTATGTATACCCTTTTCTTTTTGCCTTTTGTATCCCTTGCTAGTGCAAGCATCTGTATTTTTTCGGTAATTTAGTCTTTCTAATTTTATCTGTACAGGCTATACTATTGCTTTGTGCTCATTCTTCAGATTGCCTTTATTTCCTTTTGTTTTTTTTTCTGATTCTGGTTTTGATAAAGATCTGTTGGTACAATCAAAGTGGTCTCAAAGATGTTGTTGACTTTTCCTTTACATCAGGGTATTTTACTCCTGTTTCTCTTCTACTAAGTTAATTTTCCAAGAGACTTCCTAACAGTTCCTTAAGTTTGCTGATATAGGTCTTTCTGAAATCATTATCAACATTCTATTCTTACAACATCCTTTCCTATGTATCACATCATTGTAATGTTTACTGGAATTACTTTCCATTTTCAGATTCATGGTAATTTCTTCTGTGTTAGAATCAAATGTAAAATAGCTGTTTTCTCACTCGGTGCTGTAATGAAAATAGGCCACGGCATGTTTCCAGAGCTGCAGGCGTATCCTGAACGTATTACTTTTCTAGCTGCTGTCTCCGGTAGTTAGTCTACCATTGTCAAAAGGTGCTTGAATGCATCAGGTGATTGCTTAAAGGATTAAAGTAACCCACACACTTCATCCTTTTAGCTTTTGGTCAGATATTCAGTAATAGATCTCTGTTGATATCACTGATACTACTTGCCTCACTCTTGCTTTGCTTAATGCTATTATTTCTTTGAGCAATTTACAGAAATACATGTTTACAGTCTTTTCAGAAGTTGTAAGAGAATCCCAAAGCGGCTGTTCTTTTCCAAAAAACGGCACAAGGATTTTTTGGTTCCCATGCAGACATCCGCCGGGGCAGATGGAGTGGACCTGCGTTCAGCGAAATGTTCCCTGTTGGTGTTACTGAACCTCAGAACAGCTGAACCCATGGGTGATCACCTAGAAGATTATTCCAACTACTTCTGTGATGGAGAAAACAAAAACTGTTTTCTAAGTAAGAACAATAATCTGATCTAAGTTTGAACTTGGCCTGGCTTTGAGCAGGGAGAGGGATTAGATAACCTCCAGGTGTCCATTTAAAATCTAAGTTACTCTGTGATTCTTATTTGTGACCGTGTAGTGCGTGTACCAGCCTTGTAGGGGGGCTGTAGCCAGCGACAGTATAATTTACTGTTTGTGCTATTGTAGCAACAGTGGGCGTGAGAATACCTGCCGTTGCCTGAATGTACAGAAGATTTAAAGAACCTGGACACTCAGTATTAACTTTAATTCCGTTGTCTTTTGTTTTTTCCTACCAGAGCTAATACGTTGTTTATAAAGAAGAAAAAAGAAAGAAGAAAATCTTACTACAGCAAAGGATTGTTTTAAAACTCTGGCAAGTTGCAAAGATGAAGAAATAATGATCTTAGAAGAGAAGGAATCCACTGTAAAGAATAATTGTAAATACACCCACGCATTACAGCTCTGTCATTTATTAGCATCCAGAAGTGGTAAGTAAATTAATATTCCTAAATTTAGCTGAGTAATTCACACAGCGTAGAAAAATCCTACATAGTTGTTATCCATATTCCTGGAGATTTAATGCACT